AAGGTTTCAATTTTGAATGATAAGTTTGCGAAGTTTGCGAAGTACCAATTGCATGCTCAAAAGCAGTTACTCCTCAGCCACAATAAAGAAACCCTGGAAATAGTGGAGCTCAATGTGGAGCTTGATGGACAGATTATCCATAACCACTCATTCTACATTTCAAGACAAGGTACATGTCTAATGGGTGTTGATCTGTTTGATGCTTTGGACTTTGGACTCAAGTCTACAGACATGGTTCTCTCATACAGACTTTGGAAACAGCTGCGGCAGATGTGATACGCCAGTTCCCCAGCGTGTTCTCAGGATTTGGAGATATTTCATCATTCTCTTATGCACCCAGGGTCAACCCACAGGTTTCACAATGGTTATCACAATGGTTATGAAGGATATCTCTAAGCGTTCAAGTGGGAGTAGAGACAGAACTTCAGCGTCTTGAACAACAAGGTATCATCCAGAGAACTGATTCTGCACCATGGGTATACAATCTAGTCATTGCACGTCGCATGTCTGGAGAAGTTCGTCTATGTGAAGACATGAAAGAGGTCAAAAAAGCCAAGCCATTATTCTGGACAAGTATCTGCTCCAGACCATAGAAGAGCTTGCAGCAGAGATTCACGGCTCCACAGTAGTCACCAAGATGGACTTACATCGTAGCTACCTACAAGTGAAGCTGAAAGTGGAAAGTAGATTTCTGACAGCTTCCGTCACTCATTGGGGGTCTTCACCCCTTACAGCCTGTCCTCAAGCCCAAGTGCCTTCCAGAAAATTCGCGCAAGCAACCTGCAAGGATTGAAAGGAGCTCCAATGGATGGATGACATCGTCGTTCATGGAAAAGACCAGAGTGAGCAGGACCAAAGGCTGGAACGTGTGCTTACTAAACTTTCCGACTACAACGTCACTTTGAATGCAGACAAGTGCAAATTCTCAGCAGATGAGGTGGATTTCCTTGGCTTCAGGGTCTCCACACAAGGGATTCAGCCTACTACCACTTCGAACGTCCAAGCTATTCTGGATCTGAAGGAGCCTACGAAAAGAACTGACCTCGCCTCTTTCCTCGGAACAACAGATTTCTATTTGAAGTTTGTTCCAAACTACGCTGACAAAGCTGAACCTTTGTGTAAACTTCTATGTAAGGACACAAAGTGGCAGTCGGAAAGACCGCAACAGAGTTCATTCAATCAGCTTAAAAGGGGACATCACTTCCCCACCCATACATGCCCACTTTGATCCTGAATGAATTCTGGAATTGCACTCGGAGTGCTATCACAAGTCATCAATGGAGAGGAACATTCCATTGCTTTATGGTCTCGTACATTGCATGTGAGCACTGACATGTGTACCTCTTCAGCAGAAAATGTACCCTACGCACTGATCACCAGTCTCTTACAACACTGTCATCTAAAACAGGTTCTGGCCACAAACCTCTTCGCATCTACAGATGATCAGATAGACACCATCAGTACAACTTTCATGTACAGTACACATCTGGGAAGAATAATACTGTTACTGATATGCTCAGCAGGTGTTCACCATGTGCCTTAATGTGAGGAAATGCGGTCAGCTGAGGCTGAATTACAAGTCATGTCGGTGTTGTGTGAATCACTGCAAAAGTTCGTGCCCCCAGAAGAATTGAAACACACTTCACGAGAGGATACTGTCTTGACACAAGTAAGAGACTTTGTTACTAACGGTTGGGCAAACAAGACACTAAATGTTCTTGAAGTATATGAGAAGATGAAATATGTGTTGTTCATCTTCAATTCTGCCTGTGTGGGAAGAGGAGGAACGTCTATTATTCTTGAAAGTTTACAGCAGAGAGTGCCTCACATGGCTCATAACGGTCATCCAGGGATAGTAAGGATGAAAGTGCCGTGAATCGGTATGGTGGCCAGGGATTGACCGCCAAATCGAGAAGTTTACGAATGTCTGGGAGTCCTGTGTTCTCAGTGAGAAATCTTGAAGCCTGTTGCTGCTTCTGTACAGTTCATTCCATGGCCAGAGAAGCCATGGCAGCAACTGCAGATTGATATATTTGGAGGAGTCCAAACTGCTCCAAGGGATAAGAGATATCTGATAACGGGCCACGGTTCTGCTCGTATGAATTCAAACAGTTCCTCACAGGTCTGGGAAGAGAACACCGGAGGACCTCTCGATACAATTGGCAGAGCAATGGTGGTATTGAACGCTTCAACAGTCATCAAAGAAAGCCTGAAATAAAACATGACAAAAGGGAACTATTCACAGAGGCAATCCAAACTATTTTGATGACCTACAGAAATACGCCTCATCCTCTCACGCAGAAATCACCAGCAGAGCTGATGGTTGCTTGCAGCATCAAACTTCCTCTGGACAGACTCAGACCAGTGCCACACAAGTCAGTCGAAACTCTGAATGCCTTGGACATCACTCACAGACAGGTCAAGTCACAGTTGTACAGACAGCACACGTTCATCCAAGGTACCAACATTCAAGGTTTGAGATTCATGGACACAAGCTTCAGTCAGTTGAGAAGCAATTGAACAACGCTTCCTACTGATTGACAGATGGTACCACTTGGAATGCCAAGCGTCTGATTCCATTGAAACAAGAATTTTCAGACACCACTGACTCGTCAACTTTCGCAACTCGCGATACAAGTAGACCACAAGCAGAACATCCTGGGACCAAGACTCCAAGACCACAACATGTGACCGGAGACCTGCCCATCTGTCTGACGATGACTGTAGTGGTTAATTTGTGTTTCCCAAACATAGTGTTTGAGTTAGCCATATATCATAACCTATCCCTGGACTTTCCCCCTGGAGAGGGAAAATATGTGGTGTTCTAAATACAAGAGGCCCAAAGGGCCTGTATCGCTCACCTAAATATTTATGCAATCATCACAAAATATACATTTGATTTGTACATGTATATATAATACTGCAAATATTTCGTAATTTTAACTCTGTTGGCATTCAAAAGGGGTGGATGGCAAATCTGACAGCATGAACATGTACTTCTCTAGATACAAATGTAGCATAAAGATCTAAACCGTTTCCATGTAATGATCCAGGATCTAAGTTTCCAGAGGCAAGGCTAAGATCACAGGGAGAATCCTTTTGGCATAAATGTATTATTCTCTTCATAACAAACAAATGTATACAATGTAGGGCTGGCACAGGTAACTCGGGTACTCGGGTCGGGTAGGTACTCAGTAGGACCCAGGTACCCACAGGACTACCTGGACCCGTGGTTAGTCACGTGATATATTGTTTCATGACAAAAATTCACAATAAAACGGTTACACAACAATTTTAAGTATCTAATGTTCGCATTTCTTCATGATTATGAACACGTTCCTTCTGACTTATATATGTTTGAACAAAGTTAAAATGTCAGTCAACTTCAGTGTATGCATGAACACATTGTTTTACACATGTATCTAAATACATTCTGCCAGATCTACTGTCAAACTATTCCCAATCGGATATTTTGTATCTATCTCTTGACATCAACAGTGGGTACCCGGGTAGGCCTGGGTAATAGGGGTGTGGGTACTCGGGTAGTAAAATTGGACTTGTCCCAGCCCTAATACAATGTATCCTTTTTTATAGGGTGGGGATAATATCGGTTTGCATGTTGTGGTCAAGGTTCTAACTCCTTTGGGTGTGCCGGACAGATGAACAGAAGGACCAGTCGTGGTAGCATATGTGTATTTGTCTTGTTATACTAAGCAATTACACGTATACATGTATGGTATATGTTAATAGGGTGGGGATCTCAACTGTTTCCAAGTTTTCACCCAAGAACTTAATGCCTAGGGTTGTGGCAAGACCCCAGGCTAAATTCTAATACACACGTGTACTTCAACTTGGAATTAAATCTCATCAGTTTATTAGTAACTTTATTTGCTTTAACACGCTTTTAGGGGGAAATTCTTCATGCATTTTTGGGAGCCAAGGTTTACCCCGCGGTGCATCCAGAGTAGCGGTACATCGAGGAGCGTTAAGTCGAGGGAGCACTGTACCATGATTGTGTTTGTCTCTTTATGCCCAGCAATTGCATATATGGTTATGGGGTGGGGATCTCAACTGTTTCAAAGTTATGACCCAGGGGTTAGGTCTCCAGGGGTGGCGCAAGACCCCTCGGGCCATCCTGGTAGCATGTGTACATTACTTTCATTATACTCAGCAATTGTACATATGGTTATATGGTGGGGATCTTAACTGTGTCCAAGTTATAAACTCTTTTTGGCCCCGCCCCTCAGCTCCTTGGGGAGTCAGCCCCACCATTTGTACAATTGTGAATTCTCACACTGGAGAATGCTTCCAACCATATACGGTTGATATCTATCTCTTAGTTCCAGAGAAGAAGTCTTTTAAAGCAATAATGCCAAATTACTTCAATTTTTAATCCCCACCACCTGGTGATGCTTCCAGTCAAATTTCGTTAATTTGACATTAGTGGTTCAGAAGAAGATGGTATGGCATAAGCTTATCTTGGTCCTTCAGTGAGTGAGTGAGTGAGTTTGGTTTTACGCCGCTTTTAGCAATATTCCAGCAATATCACGGCGGGGGACACCAGAAATGGGCTTCACACATTGTACCCATGTCGGGATTCGAACCCGGGTCTTCGGCGTGACGAGCGAACGCTTTAACCACTAGGCTATCCGACCGCCCTTGGTCCTTCGGACCCAGTAAGCTAATAATGTAAAATCACTTTCCGTTTATGTGCATTTCCGTTTCATAAACCTATATGGGTTGTAAGAATTCAGGTGGCTCTGGAGTAAATCTAGAATTCAGTCACATGGTTGTGTGATTTCTTTCATTCTTTCTTTCACATACACAACTGCAGGTTCTGAAATGTTCAAAAAGGTATTTTCATGAAATATAAAAACAATGGCCCAAATTGCCAATGATTATGCCAACAAGAAATTTGAAACTTCTTGTGGTCATTATCTTCTAAAAATAGTTCAACTCAATTTGACCAGTGGTTCTTTACCACAAGAATGACAGACACAGGTCAGCAATTATTTATTCTACTGAACAAAAAGAACAAAAACTAAAATACTGAGAAAAACATTATATATATATATATATGTGGGAACCTACAGCAATTGACACTGACATAAAGACCCATAATTACTATTTATTGAAATCCTGGTCTGAAATTCAACTTTTCATCGCTGCTTCTGGAACTGTGTGTTTCTAGAAGACTGTTATAATATCTACTACTCTTGCCCCTGACCTGGTCAGCCTCGGCCATACTGCTGGCCAGCTTCAGGTTGTCGAAGTCAGCGATGCCAAATACATCTGTGCCCACTGCAACAAAGCCACGAGCAGGTTCAGCAGCAACTGTCAAGTTGAAAACAACCTGTCCATTGATGTAGCCCACAGCATGACTTCCCTGCAATAAACAACAGATGCTCAGCAGGAACATTACAGCAGTGTCTGTCAGTGACCTGTGAGTGACATCAACATTACAGCAGTGTCTGTCAGTGACATCAACATTACAGCAGTATCTGTCAGTGACCTGGGAGTGACATCAACATTACAGCAATCTGTCAGTGACCTGGGAATGACATCAACACTACAGCAGTGTCCGTCAGTGACCTGGCTAGTAGTGACATCAACATTACAGCAGTGTCTGTCAGTGACCTAGGAGTGACATCAACATTACAGCAGTGTCTGTCAGTGACAACAACATTACAGCAGTGTCTGTCAGTGACATCAACATTACAGCAGTGTCTGTCAGTGACCTGGGAGTGACATCAACATTACAGCATTACCTTGGAGTGACAACAACATTACAGCAGTGTCTGTCAGTGACCTGGGAGTGACATCAACATTACAGCAGTGTCTGTCAGTGACAACATTACAGCAGTGTCTGTCAGTGACCTGGGAGTGACATCAACATTATGGCAGTGTCTGTCGGTGACCTGGGAGTGTCATCAACATTACAGCAGTGTCTGTCAGTGACCTGGGATTGACATCAACATTACAGCAGTGTCTGTCAGTGACCTGGGAGTGACATCAACATTACAGCAGTGTCTGTCAATGAAATCAACATTACAGCAGTGTCTGTCAGTGACCTGGGAGTGACATCAACATTACAGCAGTGTCTGTCAGTTACCTGGGAGTGACATATACATTACAGCAGTGTCTGTCAGTGACCTGGGAGTGACATCAACATTACAGCAGTGTCTGTCAATGACATCAACATTACAGCAGTGTCTGTCAGTTACCTGGGAGTGACATCAACATTACAGCAGTGTCTGTCAGTGACATCAACATTACAGCAGTGTCTGTCAGTTACCTGGGAGTGACATGAACATTACAGCAGTGTCTGTCAGTGACATGAACATTACAGCAGTGTCTGTCAGTTACCTGGGCTAGTAGCGACATCTTGTTCCAGCCGTACTGACTAAGCTGCGGAGCGGCTCCCTCATCGTATATGTGCTGTCTCTCTGGAAGAAGATGTGTTGTTACTGACGTAGTCATAGGATCACAAAACAATCCTAGCAGAGACAGGAAGAAACAAGCTATGTCTGATACTGGGGATATGTTGCATCACTCAGGGTATACTTGATATCCAATGCCATTTTAAAGATGCTTGTTTGTTAACACCACACTTAGCAATATTCCAGCAATATTATGCTGGCCTCAATCCAGTGTCTGGACAATCCAGTGATTGATATTATGAACACTGTCAGGGTTTGAGACCAGACACCCAACTGCGTCCTTGGCACTTGTGGTTGAGTAGGATGTCATAAACATGCAGTAACTTGGTATTTTCTTCTGTCATGATAAAAGATGCAACTCATTCATTGTTGAAATAACTAAAATGTAACCGGTCAGAGAGAAATTAAGATTAAAACAACGTGGCCCATTTAAACCTATGTAAAACTGTATCAGTCTTATTTTGTGTGCATCCTGTTGGGTTGTGGGACAGTATTTCCCCAGGGTACATCACCTCAAATAGCTTTATCAGTTCTCATGTACCTTTGTTTAAATGTATTGATGAATATTCTCCCTGTTTATCAGTAGTTTCACAAGTGGCATCAAATTTCTTTACATTTCAAAATGCATTACACATGGTAAGAAAAGTGAAATTAAACCTGGAGACCTCATGACTTGAGAAACACAAGCCGGAGTGCCAGCTGTCTCACCAATATCTGCGGAGACACTGTAGGACCTGCTGACTGGGAAGATGAAGAAGAAGATGCCTCTAGCCTTGAAGTAGGTGCATCCAGTGTTGTTGATGTGTGCTGCGATGTATATGCCGTGTGTACCGTTGACCCTGCCAACTCGCACCTCAGACTCTATGTATATGTCACTCCTACAACCAACATAGGACAAAGGAGTCAGTGCTTTTGAAGCAGGATGTGGAGTCAGGCCACAGGTTACCTTACATAACATCCTTACCTTGTCAGTTTGCTGACAATGGTTAACCTCTTTGGTCATTTAAAATATAACAGAAACATTTTTAAAAGAATTAGATTTACAAATACAGTCAAGTCTCGTTTATCCAACACTCGTTAATCCGACAATTGGCTTTATCTGAAACTAATGATGGGAACCAATTAAATCAGTGCTATTTAGACCCGTTAATCCGACAGTCTTGCACTCCGACTCTGACACACCTAATTTGCAACGAATTACCGAAATCAGTCATTAATCAGTCTCATTAATCCGACACAGTGATCAGCATACTCTGTGGTCATCTGCCCGCGAATACACAGCCCGTGTTTTGATTCGAGACGAATTGGCTGGTAGCTGCATATTACAAAAACTGCAGAGATAAACTTGTCATGTGTCAGTAGCTGGTGTCCATGTGTCAGTAGCTGGGTGTCCATGTGTCAGTAGCTGGGTGTCCATCAGTCTCTGTGCTGGGCATCCATGTGTCAGTAGCTAGGTGACCATGTGTCTCTGTGCTGGGTGACCATGTGTCTCTGTGCTGGGTGTCCATGTGTCCCTGTTCTGGGTGTCCATGTGTCTCTGTGCTGAGTGTCCATGTGTCAGTAGCTGGGTGTCCATGTGTCTCTGTGCTGGGTGACCACGTGTCTCTGTGCTGGGTGACTATGTGTCTCTGTGCTGGGTCTCCATGTGTCCCTGTTCTGGGTGTCCATGTGTCTCTGTGCTGGGTGTCCATGTGTCAGTAGCTGGGTGTCCATGTGTCTCTGTGCTGGGTGACCATGTGTCTCTGTGCTGGGTGACCACGTGTCTCTGTGCTGGGTGACCATGTGTCTCTGTGCTGGGTGACCATGTGTCTCTGTGCTGGGTGACCATGTGTCCCTGTGCTGGGTGTCCATGTGTCTCTGTGCTGGGTGACCATGTGTCTCTGTGCTGGGTGACCATGTGTCTCTGTGCTGGGTGACCATGTGTCCCTGTGCTGGGTGTCCATGTGTCCCTGTGCTGGTTGACCATGTGTCAGTAGCTGGGTGACCATGTGTCTCTGTGCTGGGTGTCCATGTGTCAGTAGCTGGGTGTCCATGTGTCAGTAGCTGGGTGTCCATGTGTCTCTGTGCTGGGCATCCATGTGTCAGTAGCTTGGTGTCAATGTGTCAGTAGCTGGAGTAGCTGGGTGCCTATGTGTCAGTAGCTGGGTGTCCATGTGTCAGTAGCTGGGTGTCCATGTGTCAGTAGCTGGGTGTCCATGTGTCTCTGTGCTGGGTGTCCATGTGTCAGTAGCTGGGTGTCCATGTGTCAGTAGCTGGGTGTCCATGTGTCTCTGTGCTGGGTGTCCATGTGTCAGTAGCTGGGTGTCCACGTGTTAGTAGCTGGGTGTCCATGTGTCTCTGTGCTGGGTGTCCATGTGTCAGTAGCTGGGTGTCCATGTGTCAGTAGCTGGGTGTCCATGTGTCAGTAGCTGGGTGTCCATGTGTCTCTGTGCTGGGTGTCCATGTGTCAGTAGCTGGGTGTCCACGTGTTAGTAGCTGGGTGTCCATGTGTCTCTGTGCTGGGTGTCCATGTGTCAGTAGCTTGGTGTCAATGTGTCAGTAGCTGGAGTAGCTGGAGTAGCTGGGTGCCCATGTGTCAGTAGCTGGGTGTTCATGTGTCAGTAGCTGGGTGTTCATGTGTCAGTAGCTGGGTGTCCATGTGTCAGTAGCTGGGTGTCCATGTGTCTCTGTGCTGGGTGTCCATGTGTCAGTAGCTGGGTGTCCACGTGTTAGTAGCTGGGTGTCCATGTGTCTCTGTGCTGGGTGTCCATGTGTCAGTAGCTGGGTGTCCATGTGTCAGTAGCTGGGTGTTCATGTGTCAGTAGCTGGGTGTCCATGTGTCAGTAGCTGGGTGTCCATGTGTCTCTGTGCTGGGTGTCCATGTGTCAGTAGCTGGGTGTCCACGTGTTAGTAGCTGGGTGTCCATGTGTCTCTGTGCTGGGTGTCCATGTGTCAGTAGCTGGGTGTCCATGTGTCAGTAGCTGGGTGTTCATGTGTCAGTAGCTGGGTGTCCATGTGTCAGTAGCTGGGTGTCCATGTGTCTCTGTGCTGGGTGTCCATGTGTCAGTAGCTGGGTGTCCACGTGTTAGTAGCTGGGTGTCCATGTGTCTCTGTGCTGGGTGTCCATGTGTCAGTAGCTTGGTGTCAATGTGTCAGTAGCTGGAGTAGCTGGAGTAGCTGGGTGCCTATGTGTCAGTAGCTGGGTGTTCATGTGTCAGTAGCTGGGTGTTCATGTGTCAGTAGCTGGGTGACCATGTGTCAGTAGCTGGGTGTCCATGTGTCTCTGTGCTGGGTGTCCATGTGTCAGTAGCTGGGTGTCCAAGTGTTAGTAGCTGGGTGTCCATGTGTCTCTGTGCTGGGTGTCCATGTGTCAGTAGCTGGGTGTCCATGTGTCAGTAGCTGGGTGTCCATGTGTCAGTAGCTGGGTGTCCATGTGTCTCTGTGCTGGGTGTCCATGTGTCAGTAGCTGGGTGTCCATGTGTCAGTAGCTTGGTGTCCATGTGTCTCTGTGCTGGGTGTCCATGTGTCAGTAGCTGGGTGTCCACGTGTTAGTAGCTGGGTGTCCATGTGTCTCTGTGCTGGGTGTCCATGTGTCAGTAGCTGGGTGTCCATGTGTCAGTAGCTGGGTGTCCATGTGTCAGTAGCTGGGTGTCCATGTGTCTCTGTGCTGGGTGTCCATGTGTCAGTAGCTGGGTGTCCATGTGTCAGTAGCTTGGTGTCCATGTGTCTCTGTGCTGGGTGTCCATGTGTCAGTAGCTGGGTGTCCATGTGTTTCGGTGCTGGGTGTCCATGTGTCTCTGTGCTGTGTGAGGGCACATGTTAACACATAGCAGATGACAACTATGTGTGGAACAATGGCAGGATGCTTCAGAACCAGAGGGCAAAAGACACATACAGAAATCACTGCCATACTGCCCTATCCAGAACTCATATGAAATAAGAGGTTAAAAATGTCCCTGGTATCATATTTGTCCATTACATCTATTTAGACTTCTTTGAACTCTAGACTTATCTAAACTATCTGCATGGAGAGTTGGGTCAGACAGAGACTGTGTGTGCACCCAGTGCCCTAGTTCAGATGGTATTGTACAGATCATGTTCCACATACACATGGAACATTTCAAAACCATTTGGCAATGAAATGTGATTGTGACTGACCAAACACAAACAGTCAGCACTTTCCCAGCATTCACACAGGAGGTTTGAAGCAATCACTATGTCCAGAAGATTTACAGACAATCAGATGAAAACAAAATGTAACATTTAGTAATTCTTGAAGAAGAGTGTCTATTATAGTCATTTATCTGTACTGCTTGACAGCGGTATAAAGATCTAATCCGTCGCCTTTACAGTAAATAAAATAGTTGTTATCTATAAATTGTGTCTACTTTGTCATCTGTAAACTTCTACGTAATGCTTATCAAACAATTCATCTGTACTGAGCCAGGCTCGTCTGGCTGCTGTCTGTATTGTCCAACTTCTACCTATCACAATGGAGATAATGCAAGTCTTGTTATATCTTCATGGAGCCTCGGCATAGGGTGATTTGAATGATTGTGTTATTTTCAGACATGAATCACATTAACATGCCAGTGTAGAGTAGAAGTGTTGAAATAACCAACAAAGGGTTAATAAATATAGTGGCCAACTGCAGAGGTGCTGTAGCCATGCCCGCAGACTTCACCGAGGTGGTCAGCATCTAGGACCTGTCAACAGGTAGTTACACCCTGGAATACTGTTAAACTCACATTACTCATTCATCGTTGGAAAGGAAGGCCTGTGGTGCCAAAGAAAATTTTAAAATATTAGCCACTGAATTATGTTTGTGTTCCATTCAATTGATTCATTTAATTGTGAGATTAACACTAACATGGTAGGGTGACATTTTACATGGTTCAGGATTTAAATTTTTCCACTCAGCATTGGTCAGTTTTGACAATGAATTAACCGATCATTTTTGGGAAAGGCAAAAAGAGAAATCGAAATTTTGAAATTTTGGCGAGTGAATTTAAATTACAATGTATATAGTTTGTAAAATCATTTAACACATACCCTAACAGAAGCTACTTGAGAACTGCCTACTGTCAGGGGAATGCCAAGAATGTGACATGTTAACTAGGCAGCCCCTGATCTCCCCCACAAGCAAGGGTGTCAAGCACCTACCAGTCAGCAGAGCCGATGACGTTCATGGTAGCAGTATAGTGATCAAAGTTTGTCTGGCACCATACTATAGGTGTCTCAATCACCATCTGCCTCATCACATTGCTGGAGTCCGCAGAGATCACCTCAAATGCACCATTCTGCTGGGCAAGGAGTAGGGGCTCAGCATGCTCAGGATAGTCTACAACATGGTCACAGTGTAACATGTATCTGAACATGGCCATATATTGTAACATGTATCTGTACAAGATGGCCACACACTGTAACATGCATCTGTACAACATGGCCACAGTGTAATATGTATCTGAACATGGCCATATATTGTAACATGTATCTGTACAACATGGCCACAGTGTAATATGTATCTGAACATGGCCATATATTGTAACATGTATCTGTACAAGATGGCCACACACTGTAACATGCATCTGTACAACATGGCCACACACTGTAACATGTATCTGAACATGGCCATATATTGTAACATGTATCTGTACAACATTGCCACAGACTGTAACATGTATCTGTATAACATGGCCATATATTGTAACATGTATCTGTATAACATTGCCATATATTGTAACATGTATCTGTACATCATGGCCACACACTGAAACATGTATCTGTACATCATGGCCACACACTGTAACATGCATCTGTACAAGATGGCCACACACTGTAACACGTATCTGTATAACATGGCCATATATTGTAACATGTATCTGTATAACATGGCCACATACTATAACATGCATCTGTACAACATGGCCACACACTGTAACATGCATCTGTACAACATGGCCACATACTGTAACATGTATCTGTATAACATGGCCACAGACTGTAACATGCATCTGTACAACATGGCCACATACTGTAACATGTATCTGTACAACATGGCCACAGACTGTAACATGCATCTGTACAACATTGCCACACACTGTAACACGTATCTGAACATGGCCATATATTGTAACATGCATCTGTACAACATGGCCATATACTGTAACATGTATATGAACATGGCCATATATTGTAACATGTATCTGTATAACATGGCCATATACTGTAACATGCATCTGTACATTGCCATATACTGTAACATGTATATGAACATGGCCATATATTGTTACATATATATGTACAATATTGCCACATACTGTAACATGTATCTGTACAACATGGCACACACTGCTACATGTATCTGAACATGGCCATAAATTGTAACATGTATCTGTACAACATTGCCACAGACTGTAACATGTATCTGTATAACATGGCCATATACTGTAACATGTATCTGTATAACATTGCCATATATTGTAACATGTATCTGTACATCATGGCCACACACTGAAACATGTATCTGTACATCATGGCCTTATACTGTAACATGTATCTGTATAACATTGCCATATACTGTAACATGTATCTGTACAACATGGCCTTATACTGTTACATGTATCTGTATAACATGGCCACATATTGTAACATGTATCTGTATAACAAGGCACACATACTAAAACATGTATCTGTATAACATTGCACACATACTGAAACATGTATCTGTACAACATGTCCACACACTGTTACATGTATCGGTATAACATGGCCACACACTGTAACACGTATCTGTATAACATGGCCACACACTGTAACACGTATTTGTATAACATGGCCACACACTGTAACACGTATCTGTATAACATGTCCACACACTGTAACATATATCTGTATAACATGGCCACACACTGTAACACGTATCTGTATAACATGGCCACACACTGTAACACGTATCTGTATAACATGGCTATATACTGAAACATGTATCTGTACAACATGTCCACACACTGTAACATGTATCTGTATAACATGGCCATATATTGTAACATGTATCTGTACATCATGGCCACACACTGTAACATGTATCTGTACAACATGTCCACACACTGTAACATGTATCTGTATAACATGGCCACACACTGTAACACGTATCTGTATAACATGGCGATATATTGTAACATGTATCTGTACATCATGGCAACACACTGAAACATGTATCTGTACAACATGACGTTATACTGTAACATGTATCTGTACATCATGGCCATATACTGTAACATGTATCTGTACAACATGACCTTATACTGTAACATGCATCTGTACAACATGGCCACACACTGTAACATGTATCTGTTCTACATGGCCACATACTGTAACATGCATCTGTACAACATGGCCATACACTGTAACACGTATCGGTATAACATGGCCACACACTGTAACACGTATCTATATAACATGGCCACACACTGTAACACGTATTTGTATAACATGGCCACACACTGTAACACGTATCTGTATAACATGTCCACACACTGTAACATGTATCTGTATAACATGGCCACACGCTGTAACACGTATCTGTATAACATGGCCACACACTGTAACACGTATCTGTATAACATGGCTATATACTGAAACATGTATCTGTACAACATGTCCACACACTGTAACACGTATCTGTATAACATGGCCATATATTGTAACATGTATCTGTACATCATGGCCACACACTGTAACATGTATCTGTACAACATGTCCACACACTGTAACATGTATCTGTATAACATGGCCACACACTGTAACACGTATCTGTATAACATGGCCATATATTGTAACATGTATCTGTACATCATGGCCACACACTGTAACATGTATCTGTACAACATGTTCACACACTGTAACATGTATCTGTATAACATGGCCACACACTGAAACATGTATCTGTACAACATGGCGTTATACTGTAACATGTATCTGTACATCATGGCCATATACTGTAACATGTATCTGTACAACATGACCTTATACTGTAACATGCATCTGTACAACATGGCCACACACTGAAACATGTATCTGTACAACATGGCGTTATACTGTAACATGTATCTGTACAACATGGCCATATATTGTAACATTTATCTGTACAACATGGCCATATACTGTAACAATGTATCTGTACAATATGGCCACACACTGTAACACGTATCTGTATAACATGGCCATATATTGTAACATGTATCTGTACAATATGGCCACATATTGTAACATGTATATGTTCAACATGGCCTGGAACTTTAACATGTTCAACAAGTGATTGGACCAATGATTTTACTAATACCATGAGTTTTCACAGGATATCAGTTCTGATGTAAAACACTGGTGGCAGAGATAAGTAAACCAACTTGCAGGAAAAGGTCCTTTCATAAGTTGTTCTATATAATACAGTTCTTAAAGTGTCATTCAGTACCATCAAAATCCTCCACATAGGGAAGAGGGAAGGACTTGGCTTGAGGTGGCTGCCCAAAGTCTCCCTTGTGGCCTGTGTTGAGAGTGGTCAGTGAGTACACCTCGTCCAGGCCCACACTGATGCTAGCCACACCGTGAGTCACCTGAAACAGACATAGAAGGCGTAAGGCATCAGCAAAGTAGCCTGTGTTGAGAGTGGTCAGTGAGTACACCTCGTCCAGGCCCACACTGATGCTAGCCACACCGTGAGTCACCTGAAACAGACATAGAAGGCGTAAGGCATCAGCAAAGTAGCCTGTGTTGAGAGTGGTCAGTGAGTACACCTCGTCCAGGCCCACACTGATGCTAGCCACACTGTGAGTCACCTGAAACAGACATAGAAGGCGTAAGGCATCAGCAAAGTATCCTGTGTTGAGAGTGGTCAGTGAGTACACCTCGTCGAGGCCCACACTGATGCTAGCCACACCGTGAGTCACCTGAAACAGACATAGAAGGTGTAAGGCATCAGCAAAGTATCCTGTGTTGAGAGTGGTCAGTGAGTACACCCCGTCCAGGCCCACACTGATGCTAGCCACACCGTGAGTCACCTGAAACAGACATAGAAGATGTAAGGCATCAGCAAAGTAGCCTGTGTTGAGAGTGGTCAGTGAGTACACCTCGTCCAGGCCCACACTGATGCTAGCCACGCCGTGAGTCACCTGAAACAGACATAGAAAGCGTAAGGCATCAGCAAAGTATCCTGTGTTGAGAGTGGTCAGTGAGTACACCTTGTCCAGGCCCACACTGATGCTAGCCACGCCGTGAGTCACCTGAAACAGACATAGAAGGCGTAAGGCATCAGCAAAGTAGCCTGTGTTGAGAGTGGTCAGTGAGTTCACCTCGTCCAGGTCCAGGCTAACACTGAATACAAATCAGTAGTTTATGGGCAATGAATCACAGGATTCTTGATTCTTCAAAAAACCTGCAGTAGTAGTAGTTACCTTTAGAGGATCCAAGTGCTTGAAGTACACCGACTGTTTACCATCAAAACCCAGCTTGCTGTACCACACATTCAGCTGAGACACAGCAGCCTACAACATGGTATATTCTTGAGTGAGAGTGAGCAAGTGAGGATTTAACACCACATTGGATAGTATTTCACGTTTATGTCACGGTATCAGCTTTGATGTGGACACAGGATATCAGGGTATAGGTGTTATGGTACATGGGGAGAGTCAGGTGGTGATGTGGACACAGGATATCAGGGTATAGGTGTTATGGTACACAGGAAGAGTCAGGCTGTGATGTGGACACAGGATATCAGGGTATAGGTGTTATGGTACATGGGGAGAGTCAGGTGGTGATGTGGACACAGGATATCAGGGTATAGGTGTTATTGTACACGGGAAGAGTCAGGCTGTGATGTGGACACAGGATATCAGGGTATAGGTGTTATGGTACATGGGGAGAGTCAGGTGGTGATGTGGACACAGGATATCAGGGTATAGGTGTTATGGTACATGGGGAGAGTCAGGTGGTGATGTGGACACAGGATATCAGGGTATAGGTGTTATTGTACTCGGGAAGAGTCAGGCTGTGATGTGGACACAGGATATCAGGGTATAGGTGTGATGGTACATGGGGAGAGTCAGGTGGTGATGTGGACACAGGATATCAGGGTATAGGTGTTATTGTACATGGGGAGTGTCAGGTGGTGATGTGGACAGAGGATATCAGGGTATAGGTGTTATAGTACATGGGGAGTGTCAGGTGGTGATGTGGACAGAGGATATCAGGGTATAGGTGTTATTGTACATGTGGAGAGTCAGGTGGTGATGTGGACACAGGATATCAGGGTATAGGTGTTATGGTACACGGGAAGAGTCAGGTGGTGATGTGGACACAGGATATCAGGGTATAGGTGTTATGGTACATGGGGAGAGTCAGGTGGTGATGTGGACACAGGATATCAGGGTATAGGTGTTATGGTACATGGGGAAAGTCAGGTGGTGATGTGGACACAGGATATCAGGGTATAGGTGTTATGGTACACGGGAGGAGTCAGGCTGTGATGTGGACACAGGATATCAGGGTATAGGTGTTATAGTACATGGGGAGTGTCAGGTGGTGATGTGGACACAGGATATCAGGGTATAGGTGTTATGGTACATGGGGAGAGTCAGGTGGTGATGTGGACACAGGATATCAGGGTATAGGTGTAATGGTACACGGGGAGAGTCAGGTGGTGATGTGGACACAGGATATCAGGGTATAGGTGTTATGGTACATGTGGAGAGTCAGGCTGTGATGTGGACACAGGATATCAGGGTATAGGTGTTATTGTACATGGGGAGAGTCAGGTGGTGATGTGGACACAAGATATCAGGGTATAGGTGTTATTGTACATGGGGAGAGTCAGGTGGTGATGTGGACACAAGATATCAGGGTATAGGTGTTATGGTACATGGGGAGTGTCAGGTGGTGGTGTGGGTAGGTTATCAGGCTATAGGTGTTATGGTACACATATGGGGGAATCACGATTCCAAGTTTCTGGCACAACTAAGGGACCTAACTGCCTTTGTTGACTGGGTCACCCGTAGCCCTGGTAAGCAGGGCAAGGTTGAGGAGACTGATATTTTAGTGTCAGGTGGTGATGTGGGCTGGTTATCAGGTAGAGGTGTTATGGCATATGGGACGTAACTTTCATAAATTCTATTCAATGCTTCAGCGACTTACAAAGCTTCCCCCAATGTGCAGCGTGATGGTCTGTGGCCCAACAGGCCGGGGGGAGCATCTTGCATCCCTTGTACACAACGAGTGGTTCAGTGTCTGCAACATCATGAAACAACCCCCATCAGAGTCATGACATGAGGAGGGCTAGATGAACTCTACCCATACTGAATGTTCTGCCTTAAAACTCATAGTACTGTATTAGCTAGTCTGTTTCACAGTCCTTGAACCATAATTTTTTCCCTTCCGTTGGCCCTTTCTGTAATGCAATAGCCCTAAATGAAGCAACTCAGATTTTCCTCAGGTTCTGAATCACTGGGGTTACTTTTCAATTTAAATGGAGTTATTTGTTTCTGTCAAAATTATATAGTTTTTGGAGAATAAGACTTTGTCTATGTATCAGCAAATTGTTTCAGTTTATTACATGCTACATGCCAGCTTTTCAAAGCATAGAGTCACAGTGTATATTGGTCAAGGTCAGTGTTCTGCTACATACCATCGTCTACAGTTCCAGTGTAGTTGGTCAAGGTCAGTGTTCTGCTACATACCATCGTCTACAGTTCCAGTGTAGTTGGTCAAGGTCAGTGTTCTGCTACATACCATCGTCTACAGTTCCAGTGTAGTTGGTCAAGGTCAGTGTTCTGCTACATACCATCGTCTACAGTTCCAGTGTAGTTGGTCAAGGTCAGTGTTCTGCTACATACCATCGTCTACAGTTCCAGTGTAGTTGGTCAAGGTCAGTGTTCTGCTACATACCATCGTCTACAGTTCCAGTGTAGTTGGTCAAGGTCAGTGTTCTGCTACATACCATCGTCTACAGTTCCAGTGTAGTTGGTCACGGTCAGTGTTCTGCTACATACCATCGTCTACAGTTCCAGTGTAGTTGGTCACGGTCAGTGTTCTGCTACATACCATTGTCTCAATGATGATTGAGAGGTCCTTGGTGTCAGGACTGACCAGTGAGACATATGTCCCTCCCTGTGCAAGCGGACCCACTCCGGATCCATGAGCCAGGTATTTCCACCCTATTTTCGTGAACTGGGTGGTGTGGCCTACCAACATATCCACAGTATTTGTTTACAAGTAAGAAGAGAAACAAGGTTTTATGACAAAAGAATGTTTTCAGTCATCAGTGATATCAAAATGGCAATTAGAAACATTTTCCACATTTCATACCATAACATAACATGTACATAACATTGTTAAATATCACATCGCAGTCAGTTATCGCTCTATATTCATCAGCAGCATCGGACTCTCTCTCTTTCAAAGCCTCAATAGGAATTCATGTTATGTGAAACCAAGCAAAATGAATTCAAAGTACCATCTTTTAACGTCTTTTGGTATGACGCATCTGGGGATCAAACCCCGACCTTCTGCTCTCTGGATAGACGCTCTACCACTAGACCATGGAGCATCCTACTGAGCCAACATGCAGTCCCATTATTTTCAACACCATATGAATGTGCTTGTATCTACCTTTGGTAAATGAATGTCCTTGCCATAAACTGAAAGATATTTGAGCTTCAGGAGTCAGGGATCTGCTATTCAACTGATTCATTGGTAAAATACATACAAAATACTTTGTTCATCTCCTCAGTGTGACCAATGTATGACAATTCAAAAGCATCTATCAGATCCTGTAATGACTCAGGGATGCAACCCTGCATAGCAAATGTCTGCACTATTGACAAGGTAATCTGTGACCCCTACAGTTTCAGAAGGAAAACACTCTCATAATAGCCAGTGTTTCTTGCTGGTTATGTTGTGAGTTGCTGTGTTTTCTGTGGTAAAAGTCTCCACCACTAATGTTAGCGGACTGTATGGGCGTCCATTCGGTAAAAAATTACAAAGTTGAAAAAAGGACAAAAGTATGCAATTAAGATCAAATATTACGAATAAAGAACTAAATGTTACTACTAAAGGTCAAAATACAAAACAAACAGATGAGGGTTAAACATACAAAGTTGAAATAAATGTCAAAAGTACGCAATATTAATAGTCAAATGTTACGAAAAGACGTCATAAGAAAAGAAAGAACAATGTGTACGAAAGAACGTCAGTGAGCACGAAAGGAAGTTTTCAATAAAGAACGACAGACGGTGAGTGCAAGAGAAATGACGTAATACATTGTGCACCTCGGCATGCAGTTACATACATGGCGGAACTAGCTGATTAAACTCAGAATGTTTTACAAATTGCAGCGCCATCTGGCGTTCTTTATTGTGTCTTTTTAGTGCTCACTGATGTTCTTTATTGTCAACGTCCTTTCGTGCTCACTGACGTTCTTTATTGAAAACTTCCTTTCGTGCCCACTGACGTTCTTTCGTACTCATTGTTCTTTCTTTTCTTATGACGTCTTTTCGTAACATTTGACTATGGATAATGCGTACTTTTGACATTTATTTCAACTTTGTATGTTAACCCTCGTCTGTTTGTTTTGTATTTTGACCTTTAGTAGTAACATTTACTTCTTTATTCGTAATATGTGACCTTAATTGCGTAGTTTTGTCCTTTTTTTCAACTTTGTATTTTTTTACCGAATGGCCGCCCATAGGACTGACGCTGCAAGCCATGAAATACTGTGCTTATTAAGTTGATTGTACTTCATGATAGCCTTGATCATGATATCATAACCGAAGAGAATCAATGGCATGAGGTGTGATATTGCGTTAGGGGATGATGGTAGAGGAAGAGCAACAGCTTCCATTTTCTTTGAATGCCGTATGTTGCTAATTGCCCAGCACCGAGCAACAGGTATACATGTGGTTTTGAAACATTCCTCATTCCTGTGTCCAGAGACATAATTTCAAGGACACACACGCCTGGCTCAGACAACTTTGTTGCTGCTGTGGCACAGACACAGTGGTTTGAAAATGTTTGGGGTAGGCCAGCAGCATGAGATATGGTAGACAACATCTTGCCATATTTCTTTCCCAGGGAATAATAGTCAAATATTCGACAAGTTAAATAAATTTTTCCAATCGATAATGGATGTGTATGCGCAATCTTAATTGACAGTAATGATAGAACAATGTTACCAGGGATATGTTAGATCACGGGTAGGTAATTTGAACAGCGTCATGATGTCAGCCCACTACGATGAAACTCAAAAAGTGTACCTTATCACAGGATAAAGTAGGTTGGCGCCTTTGATCTTTAACTGAAGCATCTTAGAATCTCAAGTTAATACTAATTGGTGATTTCATGTCAAATATATCCATGGAAAGGAGACTTCAGAAAATTGTTTTCTTGATATAAATAAAGTTGTTCAACCAGTAGTATCCCAGACACAGCTCCCTGGAGTTACCTCCCATGTCCTTTTTGTGGGTGGGGAGGAAAAGCAACCGACCAAGAGAGGGTACTTAGACATATAATGCAGGCTAAGTATTAAATAGAGAATACATTCTAATATTCAAATATGTTTTACTAAGCCTGCATTACATTATGCACAGTTCTTTATCCGTCAGAAGGCAGTGGTGCGTACCTTCTACCGAATAATCTTATAACAACACATGTACGGCATCGATCCGTTCAGTCCTGTCAGTGTCTGAAACACAAAGTGTGACACGTGTAAGTACTGAGACAAAGATTTTCGTATTGAAACTAAACGATCGTTTCACGTGTTAAGGTCTGTCGTGAACAGGTCCAGATTGGGTTGACCCAGATGGATGTAGCATTCTTTCGGTTGGCAACAGAATCCGGACGACATAGGGCCTTGGCTAGGTTTCCGGAACCCGAGAAGTGTCTTGGCCTGCAGTGGGATCTGGTCTATCAGATGGACAGAAGTGGGAAGTATGAACAAGTAGGGACTTGGAATGAGTTGCACATTTGTTGATATAGCAGACAACTGTGGAGTTGTCTGTCATGATCAGTAGTTTGGTGTTCCTTGGCTAATGGCTCCCATGCTGGACTGCTTGCATGACTGCCTCTAGTTCCCTTTACATCGCCTGACAACAGGCTGGAGGTGGTGGGCTCCCCATCCTTGAAGAGATGCATCGACGAATAGGTGGTGTGTTGCTTTTAACTCTGTCAAGAAGACTCCTAGGACACTTCATGTAATCGTCCATCAGAGAAGGAACTGGCGTAGGTGACCTCAAAGTCATGAGGACGCAGAAGGTGCAGCAGAAGGAAGAACTGAAGTGGGCGTAGATTGAGTCTTTGTCTGTCTGTTAAGTAGCGATTGTGAACCGAAAAGAGCTAGGTGAACATGGGCCATTATTTTCTACCATTTGTCTGAAAGGAGACGTAGGAGACCGATTGTGGTGTCGAAGTGAAAGCCAGACTGTAGGTTGGTATTTGTTCCGACTTCTGTTTGTTGACGATCCAGCCTAGTTTTGGCGACTGAAAACCGCCAAGGATGTTTAATGACTAAACACAAACATAAATAACTTGGAAGATAAATTACATAGTTATCAGCCAAAATTACATTATGACTTGGGACAATACAGGAATGACAATAACACAAATTAGAGACAATGTAATATGAAATCAATGGGCCTCTTGCAGAATGGCAGGCATCCAAAATGGCGTGAATGAGTAGTGTTGAACATGTGCGTGAAAAATCCCACCTATGGTGGAATATGCAGTATAATCCATGGGTATGGTGTATATTGTGTAGAAAACACACCAACTTATGAATAAGAGGCAATTCCACTAAGGATATAAGTTTAGTTGAACAATCTTTCTGAGCTCTGTGACCAAGGTGAAACAACAATGACCAAATAGTGGCATGGGAGGTAACTCATTGGGCTACTACTGGTTCAACAACCTTATTTATGTCAAGAATACAATCCTCTGACCGCTTCTTTCCATGAATACTTTCGACCTGAAAGCATCAATATGCATCCCATAATGCAGGGTAAGTTTATTGTTCATAAATATTGCAATTCCTTCCCACAATATCTAGAACATATTGACAGTGAATCATTGTGTTGATGTTAACTTGTCATGGCTGACTGTGTATAGGACAGTACCTGACATCCATATAGGACTCTCTATGATGTAGTTGCCACTCCAAGGCTGTCTGGCAGTCATCAGGGAGTCTCGGTCCCAGGTCAGGCCTTCATAGTAGCAGTCAATCAGGTTCCAGGCAATAGTGCTACAACAGAGAGCAGTTCAATGTTTGGATGATGGTAAGTCATCACTTGCTCAATCTCATTAACATCAGGTCTTCATTCTCGCTACCACTAAACAAGAATGTCAGGATATCCCATTACGGGTCATGTCAGAACAACCTTTCATCCGACCAATCAGTGTGTGGCTTACCAGATAAGGAAAGTGACAGTCAGAATGTGTTTTTTAATCATGTAACCTGGAAAAGGTCAACAATACAAAGGTATTTCTAACGACAGTTACAGCCTGTCCGACCTAATCCATCAAAATCATCGTTTATCTCTCGCTTCTAAACATCTGAATGGAAGAGATGTTGCATAGCCAGTGACAAGTACTGCCATACAATCTGGATTACCCCGGTAGATATTCCAAAATGTCCTTTTCTTTAGTTTTCAAATTTTTGATCGAGAACTTTGTCAACATATTGTTAAAGCATAGTCTGGAATAGAAGTCGCCAGTTTCAAACTAGTGTCATAGAGATCGAGAAAGCCGCTTTCTGATTGGTTAATGTCGACTGTTAGTCATTTTATTGGTTGGTCAAAGTATGTGAAAGGTCTAACTGACGTGACCCGTAAAGGGATGTCCTCAGATCTTTGTAGAGATAGGATTTGATTGAGATTGTCACTTGGTCATGTAGTAAGCTGCATGGAGTTCGCTCCCTCATGCTACTGATCTATGCACCAGATATATCGCTTGTGTCAGAACATCTTGCAGATTTATCTCAGAGTGGCAGAATTATGTATTTTTCAAAATGTTACTACAATTCATTAATCTGAATTTCCATCATGATTTACTTAAACATGAAACTACTTATAGACTGTACTTTGGATATAAAATGCCCTTCATTTTCATTCTATGAAAAAAAGTAACAGAATGAATTGTGATTGAAGTAAAGAAATGCTTCCAGCTTGATTCCACCTACCTTGTTAAATACCAGTCAACATTGTATGAAAAAAAGTAACAGAAAGAATTGTGATTGTAGTAAAGAAATTCTTCCAGCTTGATTCCACCTACCTTGTTAAATACCGGTCAACATAGTTTTCGTTTAAGGCCTGAAACAATTTATTATTGATGAATTCATTTTATCAGTCATGATACGAATATTAATAATGTCACAGTAGATTTATAGAGTATAAATATTTCAAAGGTAGTGAGTCCTAGAAGAAATGCTAGGTCACCCCATTGATGGACTCCTCCGTTGTCTGTAAGGTGCTAGCAAATGACCAGCCCCTGCCAGATCCACCTCCCACCCTGATTGTTGTTCAAGGTGTCGGAGACTCACCTTGGCCCAGATCAACCTCCCTCCGCTATTGTTGTTCAAGGTGTTGGAGACTCACCCTGGCCCAGATCCACCTCCCTCCCTGATTGTTGTTCAAGGTGTTGGAGACTCACCTTGGCCCAGATCAACCTCCCTCCGCTATTGTTGTTCAAGGTGTTGGAGACTCACCTTGGCCCAGATCAACCTCCCTCCGCTATTGTTGTTCAAGGTGTTTGAGACTCACCTTGGCCCAGATCAACCTCCCTCCGCTATTGTTGTTCAAGGTGTCGGAGACTCACCTTGGCCCAGATCAACCTCCCTCCGCTATTGTTGTTCAAGGTGTTGGAGACTCACCCTGGCCCAGATCCACCTCCCTCCCTGATTGTTGTTCAAGGTGTTGGAGACTCACCCTGGCCCAGATCCACCTCCCTCCCTGAATGTTGTTCAAGGTGTTGGGGACTCACCCTGGCCCAGATCCACCTCCCTCCCTGACTGATGTTCAAGGCGTTGGGACTTACCCTGGCCCAGATCCACCTCCCTCCCTGACTGATGTTCAAGGTGTTGGAGACTCACCCTGGCCCAGATGCACCTCCCTCCCTGATTGTTGTTCAAGGTGTTGGGGACTCATCCCAGCCCAGATCCACCTCCCACCGCTATTGTTGTTCAAGGTGTTGCAGACTCACCCTGGCCCAGATCCACCTCCCTCCCTGATTGTTGTTCAAGGTGTTGGAGACTCACCCTGGCCCAGATCCACCTCCCTCCGCTATTGTTGTTCAAGGTGTTGCAGACTCACCCTGGCCCAGATCCACCTCCCTCCCTGATTGTTGTTCAAGGTGTTGCAGACTTACTCTGGACCCAGATCCACCTCCCTCCCTGACTGATGGCCAGGTGTTGCAGACTCACCCTGGCCAAGATCCACCTCCCTCCCTGATTGTTGTTCAAGGTGTTGGAGACTCACCCTGGCCCAGATCCTTCTCCCTCCCTGACTGATGTTCAAGGTGTTGGAGACTCACCCCAGCCCAGATCCACCTCCCTCCCTGATTGTTGTTCAAGGTGTTGGAGACTCACCCAAGCCCAGATCCACCTCCCTCCCTGACTGATGTTCAAGGTGTTGGAGACTCACCCTGGCCCAGATGCACCTCCCTCCCTGACTGATGTTCAAGGTGTTGGAGACTCACCCTGGCCCAGATCCACCTCCCTCCCTGATTGTTGTTCAAGGTGTTGAAGACTCACCCTGGCCCAGATCCACCTCCCTCCCTGATTGTTGTTCAAGGTGTTGCAGACTTACCCTGGACCCAGATCCACCTCCCTCCCTGACTGATGGCCAGGTGTTGCAGACTCACCCTGGCCCAGATCCTTCTCCCTCCCTGACTGATGTTCAAGGTGTTGGAGACTCACCCTGGCCCAGATCCACCTCCCTCCCTGATTGTTGTTCAAGGTGTTGAAGACTCACCCTGGCCCAGATCCACCGCCCTCCCTGATTGTTGTTCAAGGTGTTGCAGACTTACCCTGGACCCAGATCCACCTCCCTCCCTGACTGATGGCCAGGTGTTGCAGACTCACCCTGGCCCAGATCCACCTCCCTCCCTGATTGTTGTTCAAGGTGTTGCAGACTCACCCTGGCCCAGATCCACCTCCCTCCCTGATTGTTGTTCAAAGTGTTGCAGACTCACCCTGGCCCAGATCCACCTCCCTCCCTGATTGTTGTTCAAGGTGTTGAAGACTCACCTTGGCCCAGATCCTTCTCCCTCCCTGACTGATGTTCAAGGTGTTGGAGACTCACCCTGGACCCAGATCCACCTCCCTCCGCTATTGTTGTTAAAGGTGTTGGGGACTCACCCAAGCCCAGATCCCCCTCCCACCGCTATTGTTGTTCAAGGTGTTGGAGACTCACCCTGGCCCAGATCAACCTCCCTCCCTGACTGATGTTCAAGGTGTTGGAGACTCACCCTGGCCCAGATCCACCTCCCTCCCTGACTGATGTTCAAGGTGTTGGAGACTCACCCTGGCCCAGATCCTTCTCCCTCCCTGACTGATGTTCAAGGTGTTGGAGACTCACCCTGGCCCAGATCCACCTCCCTCCCTGATTGTTGTTCAAGGTGTTGGAGACTCACCCTGGCCCAGATCCTTCTCCCTCCCTGACTGATGTTCAAGGTGTTGGAGACTCACCCTGGACCCAGATCCACCTCCCTCCCTGATTGTTGTTAAAGGTGTTGGGGACTCACCCAAGCCCAGATCCCCCTCCCTCCGCTATTGTTGTTCAAGGTGTTGGAGACTCACCCTGGCCCAGATCCACCTCCCTCCGCTATTGTTGTTCAAGGTGTTGCAGACACACCCTGGACCCAGATCCACCTCCCTCCGCTATTGTTGTTCAAGTTGTTGCAGACTCACCTTGGCCCAGATTCCACCTCCCTCCCTGATTGTTGTTCAAGGTGTTGGGGACTCACCCTGGCCCAGATCCACCTCCCTCTCTGATTGTTGTTCAAGGTGTTGCAGACTCACCCTGGCCCAGATTCCGCCACCCCTAGCATTGTTGAAGGCACTGTAGTCTTCTGATGCCCACAGTAGTTTTCCCGTCTTCAGTGCCGCTACAGGTGTGGCCTTCCTAGGGTAGTGAACTCTAAAGCACAGAAGAGGTCATGTCTCACATGGTTAATGTAGCAGATTCCTTCATCATGAACAGCAAAATAAGAAGAACACAATTTAAAACTCTCTTTTTCCCAGTGATGCACTTTGTGTTCTTAAGACAAATATGGTGAAATGTCAGATTACTTTCATGAGATATACAGCAGTTTGAAAGGGAAACTTTTGTGGAGTTCATGATTATTTACCGTAATAGAAACAGACTGTCTGGTCTGTCTTGACATATAATTTGTATTGTACATTAATCAATCGGTAGAAATAAAGTCCACATAATCATAATCATGTTTCCAATAAATGCATATGAATGCAGTTACTTTAGTATAAATTCAGCTACACCTACATGGTAAGTCCTAGATTGGAGCAGTCTTCATTTTATTATCATAAAATGTAAAAAATGTCACAACAACAAGCCTTAAACAAGCAAACAAACACATTTTGTAAACATAATTGAAACAGAGGTTTTTTTTCATGTATCACACGAGGGATGAGGAAGTTGATCTGATATGGAGTGGGATGCTTCCAGTCTAGAGCTCCACTGCAGCTTCCTCCAACACATCACCACATGGCGGCTACCAGCTGCTCAGTGAGTGAAAGATGACATGTAATGACACGTCCTGTGTTTATCTTCCTATCAGAGTTATCTTCAGAATCTTAGTTATACCCAATAACATCTACAGCTGAGGCCAGATCGGCATCTTTCAGGATGTCGTTTTCTATTCCCCATGCTCCATTGTCTCCTGCCACGATACCCACATGAGAGAACCCGTGTTTATCAAGGTCCCGTCTCAACCTCTGCAAAACAAATAAAACATGTAGAGTATGGGTACAATAATTGCTTTCAGTCTTACAGTAACATCTAATCTCTGACCCACACACGGACAGGAACATCTAATCTCTGACCCACATACGTACAGGAACATCTAATCCCTGACACACATACGTACAGGAACATCTGATCTGTGACACACATACGTACAGGAACATCTGATCTCTGACACATACGTACAGGAACATCTAATCCCTGACACACATACGTACAGGAACATCTGATCTCTGACACACATACGTACAGGAACATCTGATCTCTGACACACATACGTACAGGAACATCTAATCTCTGACACACATATACATACAGGAACATCTGATCTCTTGACACACATACAGACAGGAACATCAAATCTCTGACACACATACGTACAGGAACATCAGATCTCTGACACACATATACATACAGGAACATCTGATCTCTTGACACATATACAGACAGGAACATCAGATCTCTGACACATATACGTACAGGAACATTAGATCTCTGACACACATATACATACAGGAACATCTGATCTCTTGACACATATACAGACAGGAACATCAGATCTCTGACACATATACGTACAGGAACATCTAATCTCTGACACACATATACATACAGGAACATCTGATCTCTTGACACACATACAGACAGGAACATCTAATCTCTGACACACATACGTACAGGAACATTAGATCTCTGACACACATATACATACAGGAAAATCTGATCTCTTGACACACATACAGACAGGAACATCTAATCTCTGACACACATACGTACAGGAACATCTAATCTCTGACACACATACGTACAGGAACATCAGATCTCTGACACACATATACATACAGGAACATCTGATCTCTTGACACACATACATACAGGAACATCTGATCTCTGACACACATACAGACAGGAACATTAGATCTCTGACACACATACGTACAGGAACATTAGATCTCTGACACACATACGTACAGGAACATTAGATCTCAGACACATACATAGAAGAACATATAATCTCTGACACACATACGTACAGGAACATATGATCTCTGACATATACATAGAAGAACATCTCATCTTTGACACCCAAACGTACAGGAACATCTGATCTCGGACACACATACATACAGGAACATCTAATTTCTGACATATACGAATAAGAACATCTGATCTCTGACACACATACAAACAGGAACAACTGATCTTTGACACACACACGGACAGGAACATCTGATCTCGGACACACATACATACAGGAACATCTAATCTCGGACATATACGAATAAGAACATCTGATCTCTGACACACATACAAACAGGAACAACTGATCTTTGACACACATACGTACAGGAACATCTGATCTCGGACACACATACATACAGGAACATCTAATCTCGGACATATACGAATAAGAACATCTGATCTCTGACACACATACAAACAGGAACAACTGATCTTTGACACACACACGGACAGGAACATCTGATCTCTGACATATACGAAGAAGAACATCTGATCTCTGACACACATACGTACAGGAACATCTGATCTCTGACACACATACGGACAGGAACATCTTATCTCTGACACACATACGTACAGGAACATCTAATCTCTGACACACATACGTACAGGAACATCTTATCTCTGACACACATACGGACAGGAACTTCTAATCTCTGACACACATATGGACAAGAACATCTAATCTCTGACACACATACGTACAGGAACATCTTATCTCTGACACACATACGTACAGGAACATCTGATCTCTTGACACACAAACAGACAGGAACATCTGATCTCTGACATATACGAAGAAGAACATCTGATCTCTGACACACATACAAACAGGAACACCTGTTATGGTTAATATATAATTTCTGGTTGTGTTAGTCGTAAAACGCATATTCAGAATGGCCAGATATTCCTGGCTCAAAATGAACTGCAAGGACAATAGCGTGATGTGACACTGACCTTTATGTAAGTGGTATTACAAGCCCGTTCATTCCATATCTGCAACAAAGTGTGTAAGGATTCATGCAGTGAAGATACAATCAGTAAATTTTACATCGTAAGTGTGTGATCTGTGCCTTATCCATTTGATTTTTCACAATAAAATTTTTAAATCAAATTAATACACTTGAATTCCATAATCATTATTCACATGGCTCCAAATGCCCCAGTACCCCGATGTAGTCCACAGTTGGACACTGATATCCCAGACTCCATAGTGCCCCAGTACACCGATGTAGTCCACAGTTGGACACTGATATCCCAGACTCCATAGTGCCCCAGTACCCCGTGTAGTCCACAGTTGGACATTGATATCCCAGACTCCCAAGTACTACAATGTACTCCACAGTTGGACACTGATATCCCAGACTCAATAGTGCCCCAGGACCCCTTGTAGTCCACAGTTTGACGCTGATATCCCAGACTCCCAAGTGCCCCAGTACACCGATGTAGTCCACAGTTGGACATTAATATCCCAGACTCCATAGTGCCCCAGTACCCCGTGTAGTCCACAGTTGGACATTAATATCCCAGACTCCCAAGTACTAAGATGAACTCCACAGTTGGACACTGATATCCCAGACTCCACAGTGCCCCAGTACCCCGTGTAGTCCACAGTTGGACATTAATATCCCAGACTCCATAGTGCCCCAGTACCCCAAGTAGTCCACAGTTGGACATTAATATCCCAGACTCCCAAGTACTAAGATGAACTCCACAGTTGGACACTGATATCCCAGACTCCCCAGTGCCCCAGTACCCCGTGTAGTCCACAGTTGGACATTAATATCCCAGACTCCATAGTGCCCCAGTACCCCGTGTAGTCCACAGTTGGACATTAATATCCCAGACTCCCAAGTACTAAGATGAACTCCACAGTTGGACACTGATATCCCAGACTCCCCAGTGCCCCAGTACCCCGTGTAGTCCGTAGTTGGACATTGATATCCCAGACTCCCCAGTGCCCCAGTACCCCGTGTAGTCCACAGTTGGACATTAATATCCCAGACTCCCAAGTACTAAGATGAACTCCACAGTTGGACACTGATATCCCAGACTCCCCAGTGCCCCAGTACCCCGTGTAGTCCACAGTTGGACACTGATATCCCTGACTCCCCAGTGCCCCAGTACCCCGTGTAGTCCACAGTTGGACATTAATATCCCAGACTCCCCAGTGCCCCAGTACCCCGTGTAGTCCACAGTTGGACATTAATATCCCAACTCCATAGTGCCCCAGTACCCCGTGTAGTCCACAGTTGGACATTAATATCCCAGACTCCCCAGTGCCCCAGTACCCCGTGTAGTCCACAGTTGGACATTAATATCCCAGACTCCATAGCGCCCCAGTACCCCGTGTAGTCCATAGTTGGACATTGATATCCCAGTACTCGATGTATGGTCGGGTTGTGGATATCCCAGACTCCCTAGTGGCTCCATACCCCGATGTAATCTATTGTCAGGTTGTGGACGTCCCGCGCTCCCTGAATCCACTTCCTGATGTATGTGGCCAGGACATCCACGTTGTTGTAAGGGTTTTGTGTGCCATTGCCGATCCAGCCCGGGAAGTTCCAGGGCAGACCATACAGCTTGATGCTGGGATTTCTCTGAAACAACAACCTCAAAATCAGAATATATATTAATAACATAATTAGGAATCACTTCAAGTATTCTCCATCTAAATCCAAATAATACAGGTTGTAGGTCAGCCATTCACACTTGTGTCAGGGGTAACTGTACTTGATCAATTATAGACAGTCAAGGTTCTACTACCCCAAATCAGAACCAGTTTGGACAGTGCGGTTTTCGTAGGGATCCTTCAGTGCAGATCGAGAGATATCTGCAGGCTGTGATTGGAGGATATTCTGTAAGATTTTTATGTCTTTCAAATGTACATCCATCCAGTTATTAAAACTGAGCATGTTTTTCTATATTTAATACTGTCTTTTTCAACATGATGACTTATGCTGAATGTGACCACAGCTATTTTCAAGTTGGTGACATTTGGTGCAAAACTGGGGGTGGTGTGTTTAGCTTCCTGTACTCGGAAAAGGAGCTGGCTAAGCTAGTCATTTTTATGTTTTTATTGCTGCTCTAAGGCCAAACTGTACAGGTACAGGTAATAGCTGTTGAATGCTTAGTTATTTTAAAACTTTTTATAACGTTACTATAGAAGTCTATGGGAAAACATTTGGTTGTGTGTAACCTCAAAGGATGCACATCAATGCACTTCCCTGTATGACGAAAGGAAAGGATGCACACTGGACGAGTGCTACATATAACTTTGAGTTTCTCCATAGATAAATAGAAATGATGCCTGATTACTCCCATCTCCATACCAATATTATTAATCATATAAAATTGTTTTGTTACACTGATATAACATAGAAAGTAATGGGATGTGTACAAATTCATTGTGGCGATCAAATAAGATATTTTAATCAGAGGCATATGTATATATAGATATTTGAAACCTCTGATTAACCAAGTCAAATCAAACTATCTGTCTGTATGGAATTTAAGAAATGTTGGTTATATAAAAAGCCTAATTATTGCTACCTTGCATATCTAGCTACTGAACAATACCTCACCGATGCATGCTACTGAGATGTAGTATATGACCTTTTCTTAAATATTACAAGTTTGAATAAAATAATAAAACAGTATCCCAATTTGCCTCCAAATGGCACTTAGATAAATTTCTGCCAAGGACAACAGGTGACCAGACTAACAGGGCTTCAGAGCGAACATTGAACACTTCAGAGCGACAGGCCAGGTTTCAGAAGTAGAGTGTTCGAGGACTTTATTATTCAGAATTAGAGGGCCATTTGTTGTTTTTCAGTGGTCAAGGACGTGGGTCATCTGAAGATCTAGACTCAGCTTTGATTCTGTGTACCTTCTTAGCCTCTGCCATCATCCACCACTCGTATCCTCTGTTGTAGTCCTCATCCCAGCTGTTGTGCATGTGCGAGGCCTCCGTTGCATCTACAAAAGTCACTACAGTGAGAGCATTGCTGACCTCTGGCACTGCCTCCCTCGGCCGAATATATACTACTCAAACGAAATTAAGTGCCAACCATTTATGGGGGTTACCCTGGGATTTTATATAAAAAGATATATTGTTGCCGAAATATTTTGAAAAAATGCTTGAAATTGCTGGTAAGAAAAAATTGTCTGCCACACAAATTACATTGTATTTTTACCAAATATTTGGGCTCAGAGTTTAATGAAAGAAATATCAATACAAAATCCCAGACCGCCCCTCCCAGATTATGAAGTGGTTGGTCACTAAAGAACACCTTATTCTTTCCTATCTATAGTTAATCTGTCATTCCATGCCAAATAAAATAATGTTCATATCTGATTACAAATTGCCTAAGATTTTGTTACTATAAATTATGTGCAATGATATATATAAATCAGTTTGGTGAGATTCTCTGTAGCTTTCAATGTTAACACTGACACATAGGAACCAAGACATGCACAGTGTCACAGTTCACCAACCAGAACTTTCAGAGTCCCCTCCAATCTCTACTTTCAGAATCTGGAGTGAGGCTGCAAAGTTGGGCTGGAAAAACAAGTTATAACCATGGCAACGTCTACAGCAGGATGGATTCAAATACATAGGGCATCATGGTGAGCAAGGGTTTGGAAAGATCTGCACCCCATCAAAGTGTCATCACGCCTACAGTGTAACCTGCTTCAATGACTGACTCTCTGAATATATGTGAAAATATACAAATAACAGGCTTACCTCACCCAAGTGTTGAAATGGTGGGGTAACTGTATTTGTGAACGAATATAATTTCTAACATCATGATTAGTATGTTAGCAAATCTAGCCCATTTGATCAGGGATTGTTTGCATTAAGTAACATTAATTTAAATACTGTGTGTTTTATTTGCAGTTTCGAACTGAGTGAGTGTTGTGTGATGTTGATAATATTGAAAACGTACTTGTTAACTGGATGAAATAGAATACAAATCATGCACTGTTGTAGCCATATCATTAGCAGGTAGGTCTGGTTACACTTAAATGAAGATACATGTTGGAATGATAATCATCAACAAATACTTGTCTGCTGAATTATCAGATACCCCTCAGGTACTCTAGCCCACGAATTTGGACCCTTTGAAGCCGTAACATTTATCCTATTTATCAGTAAAGCTTGAACTATAAAATCAGTTGTATACAACATAGCACAAACTTGTACCTTAAACAGAATGTCTAAAACCTGATTCCTCTGTTTGTCTGGATAAGCTTTCAGCAGTTTGGAAGTAGCCTGAAACATGAAGCACAACATGACACTGGAGCTGGTCATACCACATCACATTCACTTCCTGAAACATTCAACCAAATAATGAACCAAAATCTTCAACATGTTATCAGCATCAATTCCTGTACACCATGAACATATAAATTAATTGTTTGCTGTTTAACATGTTTAACGCCACATTCAGCAATATTCCAGCTATATGATCAGTCTGTAAATAATTGAGCCTGGACAAGACAATCCAGTGATTGACATCATGAGCATCGATCCACGCAATCGGGATATGATGACATGCATCAACCAAGTCAACGAGTCTGACCACCTGATCCCTATTACGACAAGCATAGTCGCCTTTTACAGCAAGCATGGGTTGCTGAAGACCTATTCTTACCCGGATCTTCACAGGTTTCATGAACTTGAAAGGAGATGTCAGTGTTGTAATTCCAAATAAGCAACAAAGTTTGACAGTGACAGCGGTTGAAAGGTTACCGGTTCTCGAGCAACAGTTTCTTACAACACAGGAACACAAAATGCATCATAGATTCACATAAAATCCACCAGTTTTGTAAAACAAATCTTTAAAAAGGCATCATTTCACATGTTTTTACCAATAATAAATTATTATCTCTTGTAATGGCTAAGCTTGATGAGAACAGACTCAACAACATGTCCATGGGCTGGAGACGTATCAAGGTCCAAATTCCTGCGCTTCCAGGAGAAGAATGAAGTGAGTGTTTACATGGCTCCAAATCGGTGAATTTTGTGTGTGTGGTTTAAGTACATGGCTAATGGTAAATTATTGCTTATTTTCCCTAGTTTGTGCATATAATACTATCCCCTTGTTACCATTGTTACCTATTTTCAAGCTCATAAGCAGTGAAGTCATGTCATTTTCATAAAACTGTTTCTTTATAAGTAAACATTGCTTATTGATGGATATGGTACCAGAAATTTAATCTCTTACTTTCAGGACATGCTTACCCTTTTTGCAAACATCTGGTCACATTCTTTTATCACTTATTTTCAGAAATCCATTCATATAATTTTCAGCAATTTTGTCCTTTATGCCAAATTAATTCTTTTTTTTTGCGGATAATCAAGACTGGTTATTCTCTTGCATTGACATTTCATATTTACATCTCCTTTCCACAATAACATTGATAGTTGTGAGAAAAACATAGAAAACCCTATCATTTGCATGTGTTTTTTAGCACCAAAAGTAATTTTTTGTATAAGCCATCTATGTTCATGCATATTTTGTTTTACTGCAATCATTATTGAAAGTGTGCCGGATTGAGCATGTCCAGAAGACCAAATCTATCAATAACATCTAAATGAAAACAATGTGGAATGATATATCCATTTGATCCAGTATTCATTGTTATTTGGGGATGAGTGTGTGAACAGTTGACTTAGTTTCCAACATTTTCTGTTTTGGACATATTTTGCCGTAAGATGAGGTGAAAATATCGGGTGTAATGTCGTGTTCAATATCATTGCACTTATATATAAGTGATGTGTATGCATGTGTGTTAGTCTGTCGCCCAGACCCAAGAGAATAAATTAAGAAATTGAATCCAAGTTAGGTCTAGAATGATGTAACAAGTCCAGATTGCATCAACTTTGTTCTAGGCTCTATTTGGAATATATATATATAACTTTATTTCTGGGACAAAATGTGAGTCTAGCATGTGTGTGTGTATCGGCTTGTACCAGTCTGGACTAATGCTGTAATTATAGTGCTGTCTCATTGAGAAACCATACTGCAGTTTAAAATGGATACCCCGACTCAGACACATTACACTAACTTCAAGCTAACCTGTCCTTGTTCTATCCCCTTAATGCCGAGTACCAGACAGGGCAATAACAAGTACCATCTTTTAACATCTTTTGGGATTGAACCACTGACCCAGTCAGTGAAATAGTCTTGTACTATTGCTGGCTATGCGGGATAGCTAGTCTCCAGTTTCAATATGCAACAGTTTATTTTTCAGAAATTTGGATCTGTGATTGATATCATGAGCAATTGATCCACGCAATTGGGATCGATGACATGCATCAACCAAGTCAGCAAGCCTGACCACCCGATCCCATTAGTCGCCTCCTACGACAAGCAGAGTCGCCTATTACAGCAAGCATGGGTTGCTGAAGACCTATTCTACCCCGGATCTTCAAGGGTCAAATCTGGAGAGGGGCTTAGTGAGGCAGGTAAATAGCCACGGGGCCGAAAGAAATTCCAAATGGAAACACCTTTCATTGGTAATGGCAGCAAAGAAAAAAGACCCGAAGGAAATCATGATCATGAATTTGCCACGACGAAGAATTGAACTTCTAGGTACAACTGGTCAGAGCCATACCAAGGCATTCTAGCGTTATTTGTGAGTAGCTTTTCTAGAGTGTTGGTGAGAATGGCAAGTTGTTTGACCTGATACTGGCGAGACGGCTGCTCAATATTCCGCCGACAGGTAATGGAACTATTGGAATGGCTGGGGGCAGAAGAGAGTCTCCCTTCTTGAGAGAGTCGCCACCTTTTGACCTGGAAAAGGAAACAGTACATGCAGCTGACCTTCCTCTGTGTTGCCCTTGACAGCCACAAAAGGAGCTGGACCTTGAGCTAATGACTTTACGAAGGTCCGGTTGGTTGGGTACGAAAGAAGGTCGCTTCCGTTCCTTTCTTCCTCCAGTTGGTTCCCTTGAAGACACAAAACATCAACTGTCTCCGGAAGGAATCCCATTGAACGTCCTGAGCTATGTCTTGAATAGGTCCTGTGAACAATGAGGATGTGCACCACGGTAATTGGTAGAGTCGGTTCTTAAATGGCTCATCCTAGGAGCAGTGTTGGAGGATCCCGTGACATCGCAAAGTAGTGATGGATCCTGCATAGTGAGCCAAGAGATCTAAGATGCCCGACATCTGTCGTGAATTAGGTCAAATGCCCTACGAATTCAAGCCTCCTCTGGTGAAGATTACCGAGTGAAAGGTTTCAAACGTAGAAAGGGTGGTAGATGCTAAAGGCAACGTACGATGAATGGTAGTGTCAAGATGAACTACCTCTCTGTCATCTACCGAAGAACAAGTGAAAGGACGCTTCGGTGCCAAAGTGGAGATATCTCCATCCAATTCAGGAGCAGAGGTAGTGATGCCAGGAGAGCCTGTTTCCCTCGGTATGAAAGGAGGAGACTGTAACCCATCTTGTAATTGACGGAAAGAGTAAAAAACCTGGTGCATTGAGAGGGGATAGATATCTGCTGACAGTAGCAGAGCAGCGAGGGTTGTCTCTGTGTGAGAAGGTCAATCAAGTGTGGTAGTCTGGGTGTGCGGTAGCGTGAGAGAATTTCCATGGACTGAGGGTAGTGATCCCAATCATGAGTCATGTGAGCGTAAGCAGGAGACGAGGTCGGGTTCAAAGATAGTTCACAGCGCTGGTGATGGTAGTTGTTACAATGTGACCGATCCTGTAGGTGAGAGTCCGGATGACTTGAAGATGAAGGAGACATTTGAGACCGTCGGCCTAATGAGTCTTTATAATGTCCAGCCTCCAAATCATGTGATGATTCTTAAGAGTCTCTGCGTGAGCGACGATGAGAGGAAGTGAGTGAGTGAGTGCTTCCAGTCATATCATGGCGTGTCAGCTTAATGTGGCAGGAAAGCCCGAAGTGATGCAGGTCTCTGACGTTTTCCACTTCGGTGAAACCCATGGACACGGGTATGGTGCTGACAAACCTAGAAACATAATTGGGGTGAACTGGGATTCGAACCCACAATTATAGGTTTCTGGCCTGCCCAAGGGACGCAACTTTGCACTTGGGCCACCTGTGCCCCCCCCCCCCCCCCCCCCCCCCCCGATGAGAGGAACATACGCTAGAGGCTCAACCATCAACCAACCTTGGGAGACATATGGTCTGATGAAGCATGCCACTCCAGTGAAGTGCATTGCTTTCTAGATGTTTGCTTATCTTTCGAGGTTCGCCAATCCTGAGAGGTTCGCTGATCCTTATTTTAAGTGGTTTAAGTACTGGAAGGCTGAGTGCTTGAAGCATGGTGATCCAGAGACGGTCGCTGATCTTTAGACGTTTGACACACCTTAGAGGTGAGTTGGTCTGAGGATGAATTGCGATTCTTTGGTTCACCGATCCTCTGACGAAAAATGTTATTAGTCTGAAACACAAACTGCAGAGGGTAGTTTCCCCGCCTATGGCCGTCTTGTCGATCGAACCTGATCGGGGCAGTGTCATTGGAAGACTGAAGTCGAAGAAAAAACGGAATAGATGAGCGATCTAAAGAAGATCTCCCATAACTGTCTCTAACTGTCAAGGGATCTGCCGAAGCCATTGGAAGTTCCCTCTGCCGAGAGTAACTTCGAGTTATCTATCATTGAAGTGGAAAGTGGAGAAGTATTTTGAACATCCAAAGGGTTCATCGAAGGCAAAATGTCCGAGGCTGAAGTAGTAGTCGTAGGGTTGGCAGGATCCAAAACAGTTGTGAGCATTTTCCGAGCGTCCGTCCCCGAAGGTAGGTTCATCGAAGTGCTCGGAGAAAGTTTGCAGTGCAGGCAAGATATTGTCAGTCAGAGAGCTAGCTAACCAAGAATACCACGATTGGAGGGCATGAGGCAGTGCTGTTTCTATGTTGTGGACAATTTTGCCGCTTATTTTATCCTTTCAGACAGCGTTTTCTTCGACTCTTAAGATTTTTTCAGGCTATCTAGCGTAGCAATCCTGTTCTCTATGCCGGCATTTGTTTGTTTGTTTCTTGTTTAATGCTGCACTCAGCAATATTCCAGCTTTATGACGGCGGTCTGTATATAATCGAGTCTGGACCAGACAATCCAGTGATTGACACCATGAGCATCGATCCACTTAATTCGGATACAATGACATGCTTCAACCAATTCAGCGAGTCTGACCACCCGATCCCGTTAGTCGCCTTTTTACGACAAGCATAGTCGCTTCTTACGGCAAGCATGGGTTGCTGAAGACCTATTCTACCCCGGTATTAGTGCAAATAGAGGCTGAAGGATTCTTTAGGTAAATCCCTACATTGACCACAATTGGAAGAAGCGCTGCAACGTCCGGACAATCAGGGATCCAAGGGTTAAAATACTCTCCTGCATGTCAAGCAAGTAGGACATCGCACTGCTTGATCGTCCATAATTAGACTGCGAGAGAAAAACACTGAAGGGGTTGAAAAATATCCTCAGGTAAAAAAATAAGGATTAATTTGTATAGCACATCACCACACCCTGGCAATTAGAAAGAGAATGAGTTGGCTGGGGAAATCACGTGGCTCACATGTATAGGTCAACAAGCATACAGAGTGTGTGTGACCCAGATTGTTGGGAGGTGACCATGGTGATGCAAGGGGTGTTTGGGCGAATTGTTTTGTTAGAAGCTGGAAACCTTTGTATCAGCACATTTTCCACTTCATGGTATGAGATAGGATAAGTTTAAAAATTATAAGTTCAGGTACTGTTCATCTGATCATTGCAACAAAATTCTTTAGAGTTATATATATTGTGTATTTTTTAACTGAATCACAGGGAGATTAGTATAAAATGTTCATTGTGCATGTGGAAAACGTCCTGAATGCTATTTCCATCTTAGTTTACAAGGACATACACACGATAATCTTTATTTCTGCATTTAAAACAATGCCTAACTCTGTAGCAGAACAGAACATACAAATCAAACCAATTTCGTCATGCTTAGTGATAATTTACCTGAATTTCACATTTTTATTTATCAAGTTTATCATCATCTTTTCATTTACCTGAATTCTCTGAGGGGATACTGTGTAGTTTTTTATTGTTCAGAACATGATCTAGACCGATAGCTTCACCCTTTTAAGTCGTACATGCAATTATGAACAACTAAACACATGTCAGTTTGCAGCTCCTTATTGTCAATCTTTGTTATGATGTAAGGCTTCTCATTCTTCGATACTCTGATAGGTGT